AAGCATAATAAAACATTCAATATTGCACACACAAAATGCAAGTCTCATATGGCAGGCAATCTTATCTGCAAAATATAACACTATGAAGACTGAGATCTCAGGCACACTTCACAATATCTATCATGAAAACCAAATCATATTGCAGCCATTTCAAAGCGTCTGATCAGCTTACAGGATTTCCTTCAGGTTAAGGGGTCCCAAAGTAATTTAATAAGATGTATAACTCGCATAGTTTTAATCATTGGAAGAAAATACACAGGTGCCGACCGCCTCTATGAAAAGTGTCCCAAAACAGGTTAGACTATATTGCCATCTCACCGTGACGCCAACGTGGGACAACAACATCCGAGTACCCGAGAGATGTTTCGTTGCAGGAAAAAACATTCCTTGTTCCATAGTTCCAACGAAGAAACTCAAACGATGACAGTCACGTGCCATTCAGCGCCCAGCACGTTGCTGCTGCTAGTTGTCCAAAAGGAAACGCAGCATAAATACAGCGAAGAGTAAGTGCTGGTGTGGTGCAGTGGATACCAGCCGGACTCCTGCAGGTACCGGACACCACTAACTGGGGATTTTACCCTGTATAGACTTATTTCAGGTGCCCTGCAGAGGAGCTCTGTATCCTCCCCGTAGATCTTACAAATTGTAGAAAAAAAAAAGAAAAAAGGGATTTAGAGAATCACCAGCGGCCTTGAAACACTTTGAGAAACATCCTTAGGTGAGAAACCAGCTTCTGCTCAAGGTGTGCTATGACTGCCACATCCACTAGATGGGTTCAGCACTACAGCCAAAGAGAATCCAATCTGCTGTCAGATCACCGAGCATTTGGAAAAATCATGTAGCAGTTGAAACAGTTCCACATGGAAGAGATTTACAGAACTGTAAGTTTCCAAATAAATTTGAGAGCCGCAATCCTGGATATCGCATGAGACACAGGAGAAAAAAAAATCATTCAGTCCTTTAAGAATTTGGTAAACTACCTGCACCACAAACACAGCTCTCAAACAGGAGCATGTTCAAACAGCAGATTCAAGGCAGACTTAGTAGCAAACCCAATAATCTTCTAAATAACCAGTGTTACTTCAACATCTAGTCAGGTTTTTTTTTCCTTTGGAGGTTTCCTTCCTAAGCACTAACCAGACTAATTCTCTTTAGCTTGCAAAATCAGACAAGATCACAGCCTGAAGGGGAAAGGCTGCGGTGATAAATATTTAATGGACTACATCAATAAAATTTATTTTGCCAAGGAGAATGGAAGGAGAGGAAAAGCAGAGAAATAATTCATTAAAAGAACTTCATCTTAGCAATGCCAGAAAAAAAAAAAAAGCCACGCTAGGAAAAAAGGAATTAAACACAAAGAGGTTTTAAATAGGTCAGAAGCTTAAGTACTCTTAACACATGGCAAACTGAGATGAGTTTTCTGAGTGACAGTACAGCAGTCTGTACACTTTACAGTAATTCACAGCATTCCAAATAAATATCCCTGGACACACGAGTGACAGTCTCAGCTCCTCACAGCAGTCCAGTCCAAGAGAGACAGGGAACTACTGGAGAGTCCAGCGGAGGGCCATGAAGATGAGGAGGAGATGAGGAAAGCCTGAGACCTGGGGCTCTTTAGCCTGGAGAAGGCTGAGAGGGGACCTCACCAATGCTTATACCTAAAGGACGAGTGCCAAGAGGTCGGGGCCGGGCTCTTTTCAGTGGTGCCCAGTGACAGGGCAAGGGGCAACGGGCACAAACTGGAGCACAGGGAGTTCCACCTGAACATGAGGAAAAACCTCTTTACTTTTAGGGGGACTGGAACAGGCTGCCCAGGGAGGCTGTGGAGTCTCCTTCCCCGGAGATATCCAGAACCTGCCTGGACATGGTCCTGGGCAACCTGCTGTAGGTGAACCTGCTTCAGCAGGGCGTTGGACTAGATGATCTCCAGAGGGCCCTTCCAACCCCCACCGTCCTGCGATTCATCTCATTCAACCTTTACGACCTGTTTAGTACATGAAAGCGTCTCTGCTCAAAACCCATTAAGAAATGCAACAAGCACCTTGAGGTTTCCTTTATTTCTCAAGGCAAAAAGTCTTCCCCATTTTGTACTGGATGAGGCAGTAAGTTCTGTTTTCCAGAAGACAAAAATGCAACAGGAAGAATTAAGGTATTTAGCATAAGGCTTAAACCTTCTTGTACTGCAGTGCTCCCCATAACTCAGTGCAGAGCTTACGATTTGCAACGCACATCACAGAATTTGCAAAACAGAATGTTTAAGCTCCCCTTCCTTCCGCTATCCGAAATCAGTTGCGGTGATACAGGAGTACACAGCACCTCAGAATGTCTCGTAACACCTTTTCCATTCACGCTCCTGCTCCTTCCAATCTGGACCTCTTACAAGCAGAAGTCAGCAGGGGATGGGCAAGGAAGAACACCAGAAACTGTGGTGTTCATGCCAACGAAACAAGTCGAGCAACCTATTAATCCTCAAGTTCTAATTCTGGATCTGCTAATGACTAATATGGCTTTCAATCATGGGATTTGGGATATTTATTTTTTTTAAGGCTAAAGTGGAAAACCACATACTGTGCAAAGAGGGGCACAGTCTTAGGACAAGCGGATTAAACGGTATTAAAATACTTCACAGCTACTTCAGTGAGATTTGGCAAAAGACTTAATATATTTAAAAACCTACCTTTTCAGTAGTCTTTGATTTAAAATGATTTAACAGTTTTGTGGATGAAATCACACTACTTAACACCTTCCTAATAGCGGAATGCAGAGATGATTAAGAAAAGGCAAATTGTGTCGATAACCATGACCAAAACCTCACTGATCAGCAGTGCTGTCACAGGACAAACTGTTCAGCAACGTGTTTCCAAACAGTGATTAAGTGCTGCCCTCTAGTGAGGTCATAAACCAGTTTCAGCATCTAGATTTCTGTAATGTAACAAAATCTCAGTCCCAGATTTTAGCTAGATTCGTTCGTAAGAGAAGCAGCCTACAGCAAGCACCTTAATAAAGTGTGCTTATGACTTAATTTTACCCTTTCATACTAGGGCCTTCAGTCCAGGTTTAGCACCGCAATAAGGTAGTCAATTTAACACCTCCAGAGCATATTCTGCTTTTTTTTGTGACATCAAGTTCTCACCTCACAATGAATCACTGGCAAAGCCATTTTAAAAACCCATTCCATCAGGAAACACAGGATTAAACCAGTAATTAAACACAAAACCAGTATGACAAGAATTTAACAACAGGCTCATAGCACTGAATCAGGGTGAGATGGAGTTAGTTTTCCCCCTAACAGCCCCCATCCTGCTGCGCTTTGTATCAGCAGTTAGAAAGGTGCTGGTCGCACCCGTTTTGGCCACTGCCGAGCAGGGCTCACGCAGCATCACGGCCGTCCCTCCAACACCTCCCCCTGCTCACCCGCAGGCTGGGGGTGGGCAAGACCTCGTGAGGGGCCACAGCCAGGACAAGCCGACCTCCACCGACCAAAGGGATACTCCATCCCACGGGACATCTGCCCAGCAGTATAAACCAGGCGCAAAGAGGAGGAAGGGGGCGGGGGGATTCGGTTTTACGTCGGTTTTCCAGAGCAACCGCTACACACACTGAAGTCCCGCTTCCCGGGAAGTGGCTGGGCATCACCTGCTGATGGGAAGTAGAGAACAAAATCTTTTGGTTTCCTTTGCTTCCGCCCACAGCCTGTGCTTTATTAACCTGTCCCTATCTTGAAAGCATGAGACTCTTAATCTCAGGGTCATGGGGTCGTGCTCCACGTTGGGTGCCCAAAAGGACTGCGGTGGGTTGACCCTGGCTGGACACCACATGCCCAAAGCTGCTCTATCAACTCTTCCTTCTCAGCTGCACAGGGGAGAGAAAATCGAACAGGCAGCACGTGTGTCTTGAAGTTGGGCTGAACTGAACACCTGCATCAACGTGCTCCTCCAGGCAGCAAAATGCCATTTCCAACTCAGCTTCCAAAGAACCTGGCTGATGGAAAAGCTCAAGCTAAACACACGGAGCAGAGGTTACAGTTCACGCAAAAGTAGTTTTCTGTTTCAGCCCTGGAATACTTCGTATATTACCAATACTTAGTGCTCGGAATAACTAAAGACACTTAAGCATTTCTTGAAGACACGAGCTCGAATCCCAACCATCGAAATCTACTTAGTCACTCGCTTACACAAAGCATTGGAAAGAGTTGAAACAACTTGTCTAGAAACTTATCAGGTACATTTATTAAGGAACAACACGAAGAACACAGATGTCATTAGTATTTTTGAATTTCCATATAAAACAAAAAAAACTTGTTTGATTTTGTCAGCAAACTTGTACCTGCAGGTTACACCACCTGGGGAAAGATCAGTACAGAGAATTTTGTTAGTATCTTCCAAACACTTAGCTATCACAAAACTTTATGCGAGCTTAACATGTAGGAAACCTATCTGCCGCCAGTCTGAACGAGCTTTGCTTCCAATCATTACATATTCTGGGTCAAACAGAACTACCGTATTACTGTCAAGGCTACAGGTCGTTCCAGTTTTCCCTGAAGAGGCTGAAGCGTACAATAAAATCATATCTGCACACAAGCTATGCTTCAAACCAGTAATTTACATAACCTGAATCTGAAATCACGCAGACTCGTGTGGGCTCACTTACATGACTTCATAACAGGACCAAGCCAAGTATCTGCCAGCCTACAGCTGTTTTTAACAACACTGCCTATGAGTTTCATTTAAATATATTCCGATTTTTAAAACTGCTGTCAACAGGACTAAGCAGAAGTCTCTTTGAACTACCAGCTCCCTGTTAGAGTATTATTAGAGAAGCTGAGATGGACAAGACAAGCCTGACTCTTGCCCATCACGCAGAGCCTACAGCACGAGTGACCCAAACACAAGAGTTTCGGATTACTGAGTTAAGAACTTCTTATTGCCATCTATAAAGAGGCAGCAAAATGAAAATAAGGTTCCTCAAGACAACGATGTCAACAGTCCTAGTAATATTTTACCTCAGCTACTGGTCCATTTTCTGCTGCATCTTCTTTTAAAAATCTGAATAATGTTTCAGCCTGAAGAAAAAAAAAAGTTGAGACCGATTTAAAACTTTTCAGCAATCTGTTGAGTGAACAGCATAAAGAAGCAACTATTGAGTAGTGTGACTTCCAGTATTCTCAGGTAATCTGAAACACAGGTGTAGCAAAGGACAGCAACCATCCACATGCTAGATCTACCTGAAGTGTCACTATAACATGTAGCTCAATTTCAAATAAAGGACAAGTCATAAGATTTATTCACATTTTTGCAGACTTGCTTGGGAGTCTTTTTGTAAATCCTCCCTGTCTGCCCTTGAATTCATTGAAATCTCACATTAAAAATACAGTTTTTCAAGTATCACCTGAAGTTACTTAATTTAAAAAAGAGAAATATTCCTGCTCTGAGCTATTACCCTGACTATCCCTGACCACACCAGCACAAAAAACCCCAACAAAACCCACCAACACAGCACTTCTCCCTTCTCACAAAAAGGCTGGTTAAGCTTATCCTAGTCAGACACTGACTACCGAGTTACAGTTCCACATTAAAACCAGGATTTTAGAATCTAACTGCAAGCTGGCAAGGGAACGCATCTCTTCCTGTGTCCCCACACCAAACCCTGAAGCCTTGCCCCACGCGCTGCCCAGCCTGCGCAGCAAGCCTCCGAACTCCACTGAGCCTGAGCGCTGCCACAGGATCACGGCAGGGCTGAGGCTGGAAGGGACCTCTGGAGGTCACCTGGTCCAACCCCCCTGCTCAAAGCAGGGCCCCCCAGAGCCAGCTGCCCCAGACCACATCCCCACGGCTTCTGAGTCTCTCCAAGGCCGGAGCCTCCCCAACCCACGTCGGTGCTCACCCACTCTCCCTCCAAAGACCCTGTTCACCCTGCCCTTGCAGCTAGACCAAACCCACGGCAGGCAGGGGTGTCAACGCTGAAGCGCGGATCTTTTAATTCTCTGAACTACTACTTGAACGGGCAGAGCATCCAGCATCTGGCCTTTCACATCCTAGTTATTTCCGAAAAGGCCAATGACAGTTTCGACAGGGATGTCTGCAGCAAAGTCTACTTTATAATCAGACAACAAACAAGGCTCACTCTCCAGAAGGGAAAGCCGGCCATGCACTTCTTGAAGTCATCAGGTGAAATTCAGAATACAAAGTCAAACCTTACCACGAACCAGTCATCTGCCCTGTCTTACAGAATAAAAACATGTTATCTGGGATTAATGAACCTAATTTTGTACATACCTAAATAACAAAGCTTTGCCTTTGTTATTTCCTACGGAGAAAAAACCACTTCTGGGAGAAAAGTCCATAGACTGAGCAAGATAAATCTGTTTTCGTCTGAACACCGGGAAGTTCGAGAATACAGTATATGAAGGAATGTGCACCTATTGAGAAATACATTCATTATAAAAATTAGGAAAAAGCTATTAAAATCCAAATTAAAGTACAAATTTAAAATGGAAGATCAATGTTAAGTTCAAATGTCTAGTTATATTCCCGTCCTACACCACTCTATATATAGAATTCTGCTGGAGAAAAGGTGCAGGGAACACACTACAAAGCCACTTCTTGCAACTCATTTTTAAGTAATCACATCTAAGCAGTAAAAATAGGCTTCCAAACCCTCAGATCAATTCAGTGGTTCAACTGTTGGCCACAATTTGACAAGGCTGGCAAAATTTTGAATGAGCTAGGAAAAAGATCACATTATAAGAATGTCACAGTTAACAGCTGCTGAAAATTCACATTTGTTGCTGAATTATATTCAGAGTAGTGACATAAGGTCATTTTAAATAGGGAAAAACAAAAGGTAAACTAGACTGTAAGACGTTATTGTCAGAACAACTTCCCTGAAGAAAGAAATATTTCCTTAGAAATGTACAGTATGTTGTACATGTCCTGATCTGCTCAGTCTAGAAAATTTTGCAGTATATGTACCTGCTCACTATCAGTTTTATTATGTCACCAGGAACATTTTCGATGAAGACAAAAACGCTTAGTACTAAGAAGCTGAACGTACCAATTTGACAGCTTCATCGGTTTCACGGGAAGCCACTGCCAAAATTTCCGTGGTGGGATTGAAGGCCACACATGTAGCAGATGTAACGAGGTTCATTATGGCTTTAACTGGTTTAGGACGGTTTTCTTTGAGACAGACATCAGTAGTATATAAATTTACAACTCCAGAAGCTGAACTAAAAAAAGAAATTACAAAGACTAGACCAAGAAGTAACATTTACAGAACATATTACCTTGTCATCCATAGCCACCATTCAACTAAAAATGTAGTTTCCAATTATTTACTAGGGTCTGTAACGACACTTTGTTCAAAGCTTGATTTTGCTTTGGAGTTTAGAACAGTATTTAGTGGAGGAGTTTGTTTAGGGTTTTTTTATTTATATATAGAGACACACTTAACCGTGGAGAGCTTTGATAAGCCATCTCTTACATAGGATGGATTCAAAGCAATGAGAGCTTGGTATCAAAAGATTCTGAAGTAGTTTCAAGCTTTTTGATGTTTTTTTATACCCTGTAGAGTAAGACCACTTCAAAATCCTCTTCTACAGTGAGCTAAGAAAATGCATGCTGTACGTCAGGACTTGCTAGTCTCACTTAAGAGAGCTGACGGGCTCGCTGAAGCTGCATCTCACAAGTACATCTGGAGAAACACTTTCAAGCTTGTGGCTTTGAGTTGAAGCATCTTTTCAAACACTAGCCTGCTACCTCGCAGGAGCCAAATTAGGAG